TTCATTTGATTTTATTACTGTAAATTGGGATGTATATATTGATTGCACTTCCTATTGATTGAGCACCTACTGGAGTCCATATTGAACATGCAATCAATCAACAAGCATTAAGTGCTTATTATGTGTCTAGCATTGTGCTAGGTAGCACATAGTATATAGTTCCTGTCTACCAAAGGCATAGATCAGAAACATAACTCATATATTATACATATTGTATATCATACAAATATACACATTGATAGTTTAATTTCTGTTCATTTTAATATTCCATATAGTCTAGTTTGAGAAATTGGGAAGTATCATCATGAAGGCTAGGTGGTAGGTGATTTAGGGGAGACAAGTAATGTAACCCAATGAACAGGATTCTGAACATGCAGGAGTTAATAAAAGTTCTTCCTGAGGACAAAGAAGTGACTTGATGATGATAAGTACAAATATGTTCTACACCTTTTGGCGTATTAGAAAGTAGGACATTTCCAGGAGCCAAGATGGCAGAGTAAGAAGTTATTGACCTCTGAAAAGCCAGAAAATATCACCCCAGGAAAAACCCTGGAACAGCTGAGCCAGCAGAAAGATAGGGTACAGCAGTCATGTAGCCCAGGAAGCTTGGGTGATTAACGGGAAAGGCCCATCTTGCTCGGGAGAGGGGAAACAGTACAGGACACCCAGCAAGCCCTGCCTCAACAAACCAGATCCTGAGCCCCAGGGTGGTGAAGCAGGCAAGCTCCAATACCAGAACCCCCCCAAGCACCTCAGCACAGGCAGGGGACCTGGTAAACACCAGCTTGAAAAACCACCATGTGTACCAGTGTTCTCCAGTAGCAAAGTCTCCTAGTGCTTTAGCACAACACCAGGCTGGCAGACATCCTCCAGCAGCCAAACATTCAAGTGCTTTAAAGAAGCCCAGGTGAGCAGGCATCCTCCAGGGGCCAGACTCCCCATCCCCACCCCAAGAGTTCCAGTGCTGCTGACCCCAGCTCAAAATCAGGTAAGGTGTCAGACTCCTACAGCCCCCAGTTGCCAGCTCCTGAGGCCCCAGCACACAAAGCTAGTGACCAAGTCCCAGATTCCCAGCACAAGAAGCTTGGGTCAGTGCCCCCTGCACTCCAGCAGGAGAGCTCAACTTTACAAGCCAGGGAATAGGCAAACACCATGTGCAGAAAGCAGAAATAGACAATGATCATAGATTCTTATTATGAAAACAGGAAAGATCAAGGCACAAATTCAGAAGAGGACAATCTGAAACCTCAAAGGGGAATATGAATTGATCTCAAGACCCAAAAGCCTTGGTGGAAGAGCTCAAGAAGGATTTTAAAAGTCAAGTAAGAGAGGTGGAAGAAAAATTGGGAAAGAAAATGAGAAGTATGCAAGAGGGAGTCAATGGCTTGGAAAAGGAAAGACAAAAATTCACTATAGAAAACAAGTCCTTAAAAATACAGTTGGCCAAATGGGAGAAAAGTACACTGAAGAAAACGAGTCTTTAAAAAATACAATTGGCCAAATTGAAAAAAAAAAGTACACTGAAGAAATCAACTCCTTAAAAAATAGAATTGGCCAAATGGAAAAGGAGGTACAATATCTAATAGAAGGAAACAATTCGTTAAAAACTAGAATTGGGCAAGAGGAAGCTAATGACTGTATGAGATATCAAGAATCAATCAAACAGGGACAAAAGAATGAAAAAATAGAAAAAACATAAAATATCTCATTGGTTATACAACTGACCTGGAAAATAGATCCAGGAGAGACAATTTAAAAATTATCGGTCTACCTGAAAACCATTCTGAAAAGAGCCTGGACAGCATCTTTCAGGAAATCATCAAGGAAAACTGCCCTGAGGTCCTAGAATCAGAAAATAAAATAATCATTGAAATAATCCACTAATCACCTTCTGAAAAAGATCCCAAATTGAAAATGCCAAGGAATATTGTAGTCAAATTCCAAAATTACCAGGTCAAAGAGAAAATACTGCAAGCAGCCAGAAAGAAACAATTTAAATATCATGGAACCACAGTCAGGATTTCACAGGACCTTGCAGTTTCTACATTAAAAGATCAAAGGGCATGGAATACAGTATTCCATAAGGCAAAGGAGCTTGGGTTACAACCAAGGATGAACTACCCAGCAAAATTAAGCATTATTTTTCAGGAGGGGGAGATGCATGTTTAATGAAATAGTGGACTTCTAAACCTTCTTGATGAAAAGACCAGAGCTCAACAGAAAATTTGATCTTTAAATACAAGACTCAAGAGAGGCATAAAAAGGAAAGAAAAAAACATGATGTTATTAATAAAGGCAAACTGTTTACATGCCTACAAGGGAAGATGACACTTGTAACTCTTGAGAACTGTATCATCATTATTACATTTAAAAGGAGTATACATATAAAGGGGTAGACAGAGCATGTGGGTATACGTTGACTTTAATGTGATGATAAAAAAATCTAATTAAGTGGTGAAAAGAGATTGTTCTAAGAGAAGAGGAAAGGAGGAGGCAGACAAGGGTAAATTATATCACATGAAAAGGTACAAAAACCTATTTCAGTAGAAGGAAAGAAGGGAGGGAGAAGAGCATTGTTTGAACCTTACTCTCATCAGATTTGGCTCAAAGAGGGAATAACATAATCAGTTAGGTATAGAAATCTAACTTACCATATAGGAAATAGGAGGGGAAAGGGGAAAGAAAAAGGAGGGGGTAGATAGAAGAGAGGGAAGAAGTAAAAAGGGAAGAAAAGGGAGGGGGCTGATAGAAGGGAGGGCAGACTGAGGGAGGCAGTGGTTGAAAGCAAAAAACTCTAAAGGAGAAAGAAAAGCATAAATGGGGGGAAATAGGATGGAGAGAAAGACACAGATAGTAATCATAACTGAATGTGAATGGGATGAATTCTCCCACGAAATGGAGGACAGCAGAGTGGATTAACAACCTTAATCCTACAATATGTTGTATAAAAACCTGGAAAGACATAGGAACTGATGCTGAGTGAAATGAGCAAAACCAGGAGAACATTGTATACACTAACAACCATATTGTACAAAGACTGACTTTGATAGACCTAGCTCTTCTCAGCAATGCAAGGATCTTAGCTCAAAAAAACTCATGATGGAAAACGATGTCCACATCCAGAGAAAGAACCATGGAGTCTGAATGCAGATGCAAGCATACTATTTGCTCTCTTTTTCTCTTGTTTTGTTTATTCTTTCTTGTGGTTCCTCCCATTAGTTCTAATTCTTCTTTACATCATGACTAATGTGAAAATATGTTTGATATGAATGTATAAGTAGAGCCAATATCAAATTGCATGCCATCTTGGGGAGAAGAGAGGAGAAAATTTTAAATTCAAAATCTTATGGAAGTGAATGTTGAAAACTGAAAATAAATAAATTTTAAATAAATTTTAAAAAGAAAGTAAGACATTCTGGGTGGAAGAGGAGATGAGGGATAAAAACATTTATTTGACAAGAGTAAAGGTGATGGGTGAGCATATGTGATGTTTGTTGTTGTTGTCATATCTGACTCTTCATGATCCCATTTAGGGTTTTCTTGGCAAAGATATTAAAGTGGTTTGCCATTTCCTACTACAGCTCATTTTACTGATGAGGAATCTGAGGCAAACAAAATGCAGTGACTTTCTCAGTAAGTGTCTGAGGCCAGATTTGAACTCGGGAAGATGAGTCTTCCTGACTTCAGGCCTGGCACTCTATCCACTGGGCCACCTAGCTCCCCTATCATATGTATGTAGTCAGAAATGAACTGGCAGTGAAATTTTAAAGACTGGAAGCATTTGGTGACTGAGAAGATGCAGCATTTGGTGCGCAAGGCTTTGAAAAGCCAATGGGAGGATATGAGGATGGAAGTCACATGTTCAAAGTGCTTATCTCTTCTAATAGGTCATTTTTAATGTGTATTCACTTCACATGACTCTTCAGCCTTTCCAAAGGTAGAAGGTTTACAATTAGTATTTTAATAGAGCAGACTGTCCTGAGTGGGTGTTGGTTTGTGTAAGTATGTGTGTTTTTAAGGGAAAAAAATCAAGAATAAAATTTATGTGAGGAGACTACAGATAGGAACTGGGGATTGCAAGGATTTAAATTTTAATGTGATCCATTCAGTACAGTAATATAACTTTTTTTTCTTTTGTTACCTACAACAGAAGATTCATAAGACTGGTAAATGAGGAAGCTGTGGCAAAGAGTATAGACTACTAGATATAGAGTCGAGAAAACCTGACTTTATATCTAGCTTCTGAAACACACTGACTTTTGATTATGGGCAAATCATTCAACTCTTCTGAACCTCAGTGTCCTCATCTATAAAATGGGGATAGTACTATCTGTTGCAGCTCCTTCAGAAACTTATTAGTTGTTTAACTCACTTAACCTACATCTGAGCAAGTCACTTAACCTATATCTGTCTTAGTTTCCTCATCTGTAAAATAGTAATAATAATTGCCCATACTTCCCTGGAGGATATGAGGATAAAATGAAATAATATTTATAAAATGCTTTCCAAACCTTAAAACTATATAAACACGAGCTATTGTCAGGATTATTATTATAGCATTAGATAATATGTGGGTGGCAAGAATGCGAATCTGACATCACTTGAAAAATTCCCATAGTTGTTGAGATCCAGTCCTATAATTCTCAGTCTTGTGAAAGGGAATGTAGAATTAACAAAATATAACTGATTTCATTCAGTAATAAGATAAGGGAAATCTGACCTTCATCAAGAGAGTTCATCAGAATGGCCACTTTTGCATACAAGTTCTTAGCAATAGGATGGCATTGACCGAAGGCAAAGATTTTAAGTCCCCTTGGTCCTGACCTTTAGAGTATTCTATAGAACCAAGCCCTGGGCTCATTAAGCTAACAATTTTCTATAGTTAATTTGTCTTCTGCAGTGGAAAAAAATGGAGTAGCAAATAACTCTTACAGTAAGATAAATAGATAATGGTTCTTTACTGGCCTAATTATATACACTCTGTCTCCCATTCTGAACAGCATGCTCGATAGCCCAAACCGTCTTGACGAGGAACACAGGCTGATTGCCAGATATGCAGCGAGACTGGCAGCAGAGACATCCTCATCTGTAAGTTTTCATTAAGGGTCTTTAATAATTCTTAAGGAAGTTCTGTCAGAACTGGGCAGATACTGAACCTCTTCCTTCTATTTCAGAGTTAGAGGTTATTTCATTGTAATTCTTGCTTTCAGTACAGAGTTTTATCTGTTACTAGTTTATTGTTGACTTTTTAAGGTTTTCATGGTATCTTGGCAAAAATTCCCATTTTATATATGATAAAATCATGACTTAATGCTTACTACCTGTTTCAGTCAGTCCATGAGCATTTATTAAGCTCATGTTATAAAAATGAAAGGGTTAGATTTCAAGATTCTATTTAGCTCTAAATCTATGATTCTGTGATAAACTAGCTAAGGTCACTCAGTGACCAGGTTGCAGATTCAAATTAAAGCCAAAAGCTTTCATACCCATCCCTCATACACTATTTGGGCCTGACCAAAACCAAAACAAAACACTTATAGGAAAGATATTGTTTTCTCTACTTGTGGGTTCAAGTACGATTGGAAAAACTACAGTAAAGGTTATACTGATTTCACATTTCTCCAAATCTCCAACACAAAGAATTCAAATCAGTTTGGCACTTTATTCAGAATGCAGATGTTTGAAATGGAGAATAACCATGGACTTTGGGTTGTTGGGAGATACAGGGCATCTCCATTTTTTTTTCCATTACTCTCAGACATCCCAGCTGTCAGATCCCTAACTGCAGAGCATTCTCACTAATGATCTTAGACAGGAGCACTATAATGACCCAAAGCATTAACCCTGGCACTTGCTCACAGTTTGGTGTATTGATCACGACACTGTCGGATTCCCATGACTAAGGGGAATTATAAGCTAAAAATGTACTTTATTTTTTTCCCCAAAATAAGACTCAGTGGACTGGAGATAGCATTGAAGTGTGTAAAACATCAAATAGCATGAATAAGGTCAATCTCATTATGGTCTTTCAGCTCAGCACATCTCAGAAGAAAAAGGAGCATGAATGAAAATTAAATCAAAAGGAATGCAGCACTGAATGTCAGGAAGACCATTTCTGCTAAATGACTAATGCTCAATGGGGTCAACTGGAAGGACAAATTCATTCAAGCTCTTTAGCAAAAAAACCCCTTGTCCAGTTAGTTTTCTAGTTCATATCAATCCATGTGTTGGTTTTGCTGTAACTGGCCTTAATCAAAGGGAGAGGGTAGATGAAAGAATTGGTTCACATCCTTCCAACCCTTACTCTCTGACGCTCATTGCCAGCCCCCAACAGCCCAGCACACTCCAGTTCCCTGACTCCTCAGTGAAGATAATTTGTGGTTCTTAAGTTACATCATAGTCATAGCAGATCATCTGTAGAGAAGATATCACCCTACCCTCTAGCCCTGCTATATGAGTCCAGCTGCTTTGTAAATTCCCTAACAACCCTAGAGGCTGAATAGATGAAAAACTAATAGAGGCAAATTTTGGCTTGATGACAGAAAAAAATACTTCCTAACATTTAGAACTGTCTAAAAATGGAACAGTCTTCCTCAGGAAGTAGTGGGTTCCCTTCTCCTTGGAGCAGAGGCTAGGTAACCACTTGGTGTTTATATTCTACTTGGATTTCCTTTCAGGTAGAGCTTGAAAAAAAATGACAAATGAGGTGCCTTCCAAGTGTCAAATTCTGTGATTCCATAAGAGATCATAGATTAAAAAGAAACATGGCATTAGAAGTTCACTTACTTGGATATATTTTCTTTCCTTTGGAAGGATCAGATTTAAATCTTCCCAGGTTATGTTTTTACCTTTCTTCTCCATGATCCTTGCCTATGATAGAGCCTTAAGGAAAGTCCAAGGATTTTGCCTCAGTAAGAGCAGAAAATTATAGCTCAAGTATCCAGCAATAGAATTAGTCAATTTGAGGAAGATTTTTGTTAATATAATTCTTTGGCATTATTTCATTCAATAATAGGAAGCTCAATCTCATGAGCCAGATCTAGCCTTTGAATTCATCTTCATCTAGCCCATAAAACAAGAGGAAAATGTGAAGCCACTATTTGTTTATAGTTACAAAAATGCAGTAAGGTTTAAAAGTGCATAGAAATATTATCCTTGATGTTTCACAAGATAGAGGTGTTGCCCCTGTCTTCCTCTATGTGTATTTCTTTCTCTGTTACTGTGTGTGTGTGTGTGTGTCTTTATCCTTTGTACACACATGTGCAAAAGAAAGAAAGGGGGTTAAGGAGGGGGATAAAAGAGGCATACAGATAGACTGACTTTCTACATCTCTCTGGGTATAGATTGTCTCTGTGTGTATTATCTCATTGTGGGTCTGTTTTGCTCTGTTTTTATCTCTCATGTGTTTCTCATTCTTTGTGTTTGTAGCCACCTGTTCTGCTTTCCTTGTCTCTTTCTCTGTCTTCATTTTCTCTACTTCAGGGGTGGGGAACCTGCGGTCTTAAGGCCACATGGGGCCTTCTAGGTCCTTGGGTGTGACCTTTTGATTGAGTCCAAGTTTTACAGAACACATCCTTTTATTAAGAGGATTTGTTCTGTGAAATTTGGATTCAGGCGAAGGGCCGCACTTGAGGACCTAGAGTCTACTCTCTCTTCAATTTCTGTCTTTTTAACTTGAATCTAATATAAAACTGGAGTATTTTTATACCATTTATCCCTAGAGAATGCTCTGGTCCAGTGATGTCAAACTCCAACAGAAATGGAGACCACTAATCCATATATGAGGATCCCTTAGGGCCACATATTGGCTTAGGTTTAAAATATAATATCTGTGTTTTATTGTATTTTTTATTTGTTTTGTTAAACATTTCCCAATGACATTTTAATCTGATTCAGGCCACACTTGGAAATGTTGTGTAGGACACAGGGCTGGCTACGTGTTTGACACCTCTGCTCTAAGCAGTCTAAGATTATATTTTTGGAGAAACCTTTCCCAGACCCCTTTAATCTTAACACACTCCTTCTGAAATAGCCTACAATTCATCCTGTACATGGCTCATTTGTACATAGTTGTTGGTATATTGTCTCTCATAAGATTGTGAGCTCCTGGAGCAGGAACCATGTTTTTGCCATTTTTTGTGTCTCCAATGTTTAGCAAGGTGCCTGGCACACTGTAAGTGCTTAATAAATGCTTGTTGACTTGATTTAACTGGAGTGGCCTCTATATTGGAAGATAGCAACCACATCAAAGTCATCTTTTTTCCTGGCTGATTTGTCTTGAGAGAGGGTGTTTCCTTATCTGGAACTCTCTATACTAATAAACTCACAGGCCCAGCTCCTGTCCCTATGTCTATTTATTAAATAATCTTCTTTTTCCCATTCTTAAATTTCACATATATATTTTATATATATTCATAGGCATGTATAGATATATACACCCATATACTTCAATGTATAGATACTTTATATTCATCTCCCTTTTTTTTAAAGAAAAAGTGAATTAAGTTGTTTTTATTTATGGAGTCATCAATTGATAATGGCTTTTCTGCTTCACAAGGCTCTGAGGGTAACCAAAACTCCTCATACCTGTTGTAAAGAAAATAGCTGGTTGATTATATTTTTCACTTTTCAATTCTTGTTTTCATATGGTATAACTACTCGGCGAGTTTACCAGGGACGACTTAACCAAATTATCCAGCTAACTCATTTCCCTACCTAATACTGGAGATTATAGATCAAAAGACAAGCATTGAAAATCAAGGTTGGCTTAAATGAGGAAAGTTTCTACTCATCATCTACAAATAAAACCTTCACAGGAAGAATACTAGTATATATTTAATAAAGTAAATGATAATGAAAATAATTAAAAATAACATACTAACATTACAATTTAAGATTTGGAAAGTTTTTTCCTCACAATATTTTCCCTTTTTAAAAAATTTGCATCCCCAACACTCCGCACATTTTCTGGCAAGCATATAATAGGTATTTAATAGATATTTGTTAATTGATTGAATCCTGTTTGGTAGGTGGCATAAGTATTATAACCTCACTTTATAGATGACAAAAGTGAAGCTTAAAAAGAGAAAATGACTTGTCCATGGTCACACAGCTACTATTAGAAGTATCTATTACTTAAACCCAAGTCTAGTGCTTAAATACAGCTAAATAATAATAATAATAATAATAGCTAGCATTTATGTTGGGCTTTAAAGTTTATAAAGTCTTTATGTATATTATCTCATTTTATCCTTATAACATGTAGTACGTACTATTATTACTATTATTTAAGTACTATGTGGAAGTACTATTATTACCCTCATTTTACAAATGAGGAAACTGAAGCTAGAAGAAGTTAAGTGACTTGCTTAGAGTCATACATGTAGTAAGTGTCTAAGGCAGGATTCTAACTTGTGTTTCTGACTCTTAAGTTTGATATTCTATCAACTCTGACATCCCACTGCCAATAAGTATCTACTACTTGACTCTAAGTCCAGTGCGCTCCTAACTATGCCAGGCTTTTTTGGGGAGGGACGGTGTGCAAAAAAATAGGAGGCAATAAATTATAGTTTAATTTTGTTGATTTGCCTTCTTGTTTTCATAAAAAGTACATCTTTTCCACACATGTCAGCATAACTTGACAAAAACATTTTATTGAGACTCCTCAGAGAAGATTCACTGTGATGGACATGGGTTTCGCACTCCCCAGCATTAAATATTTTATATCATCTCTTTCACAGCAGCCTAGTCAGCAAAGGGGTGCTTCTGATATCTCTTTCACCATTGATGCAAATAAGCAACAAAGGCAGCTGATTGCTGAACTTGAAAACAAGAACAGGTAAGAGCTTTTAAGCCAGATTGTCATTTTGTTCATAGTGTGTCATCATTCATTTGGATTGTACTTTATTTAAAACCTTTACTTCTCTTCTCCTATGAGTTATCGCTTTAAGGAAAGAGGAAATGTTCCTCGTTGTCAGTGAAGGTTGTTTGCTGAATTGTGAAAAGCTAGTCTTAGGAAGTTGTGGGATAAAGTTTTGCTTTTATATGAATTTTCCAAACATTTTATTGTTAATATTTAATGAATCTTTTTAGTGTCTAGTCAAATCATAATCTTTAGTCACTCAGTTTTGTCCTGTTCTCTCAATCCATCAAATTTTTCCTGGCCTGAGTCCTAACTTTCTTTCTAGCCTAGTTTCAACTCAGTGGCATTTCTGTTTTGTGTAGTTGTTTGTTTGTTTGTTTGTTTTCAATGAAAAAAAAACACTATTGTCTCTCCCTCCCACTTCCTTTTGCCCATTAAAAAAAAAAAGAAATACAAAACCCTTATTACAAATTTGTATAATCAAAGAAAAGGCAGCTAATGGCTCAGTGGATAGAGTGCTGGGCCTGAAATATCTTCCTGAGTTCAAATCTGGCCTCAGAGACTTATTAGCTTTGTGACCCTGGGCAAGTCACTTAACCTTCCTAGGTTGCAATTTCTTTAACTATAAAATGAAAGGGTTGGAACTAGATGAATTCTTGTCCCTTCCAATTTTAGATCAGTGATCCTATAGTATAATTGATATCGTATTGCTTGCCTTCTCAATGAATGAGGGAAGGGCTAGGGGAAGAGAGAATTCAGAACTCAAAATTTTAAAAAATAAATGTTAAAAATAAATAATTCATAGAGTAAATAATCTTGTAATTGCTTCTTGTCATTTTTTCCATTCTTAAATGTGGAAATTTATAAAGATGGTTGGTCCTTTTCTCTTTTCTTTCTGTATTCTCTCCCTTGCTTTTATCCTCTTCCACAACAGAACTCTATCAATAACATAGTAGGCACTCACTAAGAGACTGATTGATTGGTTGATTAAACTTGTCTAACTTTTATGTCATGTCTTAGCAATAGCTTTCTTGGTGAAGTCACTACAAAGTGAATCAGAGGGAAAGGAGTTCAGTATTCAATTTCTGTAACTGAAAGATAAGAAGACCACTGTGTAGTGTTAATATCCTGATAAAAATCATTATCACCAGTAGTTTGGCAGTTTTATGTTCATTTGGTTAATTTCGTAGAGATGGAAATACAAACCATTAGAAATGCTTAACTTGTATTTCATATACTATTTGATTCATATTCTCTGTAAATATTTCTAAACTATTTAATGTTATCAGCTTGATCTAAGATCTTTAGCCATACCCTGTTCCTTTCATATTTTATCTTAATGTTATTTTTTTTATAATTTTTCTCTTTAATTCCTTTAGTGTGTTTACTATGCATTTTGTTGTGACCTGAATAAATGTTAGTATTGTCTCTCATTCTGTTCATGATGTGTTACAAGTATGTTTTCCTTCCGGTATTTTGGCTTTAGCTCATTTTTCAGTCCATTGTTATATGAACAGAAACACAAACACACACACACACACACGCACACGCAGTTTTCTTTTGAGACTTTTTAATAGTTTTGTTTCTTTGGGTCATTTCTATTTTTGAAAGCAATAATAAGTGTTTGCTATTTCTTGTAACCTCACTTTTATTTTACTGCAAGTGATGAAAGTTTCATGTTTTAGGAGATTTATTTTGACCTCAATTTTAAGAGTTTATAAAATATCAAAATCCAGGCCTTACTCAATTCTTTAGCAATGATTTTTAATACTATACATATAAGTTACTGTACCTCATTTAATGTTTTGCTAGAACAGGACTAAAATCCCTTAGCTAAATGGACCTCATGTTTTTGCTATTGCATCAAAGCATAAGTACACTCACACACACTTGACTTTTGTCAAGACATTTGTCTGAGACTGGTGAGGGTTTATGAAGATCTCTTCTTGCCTACAGGTTTTGAATTATAAATTCTGAGTAGATAATAGGATCATGAGATAATAAATTTAAAGCTGAAAGAGACCTTGGAGGCCTTCTGGTCTAATTCCCTCATTTTACAGATAAGGAATGTGAGCCCCAGAAAAGTGACTTGCCTATGGTTACAAGTATCACGTTTCAAAACCAGGAATTCAATCTGGGTCCAAATTAAAATCTCTGCATTTTTTCTCTTTAGTCAGTCAGTCAACAAGCATTTATTAAGTGCCCATTATGTTTCAGGCACTGTGTTAAACCAAACAAATTTAACTATTTTAATGATTTTTTAAAAAAAAAATTTCCTGAAAGAATGCATTTCATTCCTTAAATATAGAATCTCATCATTAAATATTCTTTGGTGAGTGTGGGATTAGCTTCATAATGTGAGAATGTGACTGCATGACCACAGGAATTTTTCTTGCTTCTGGAGAGATGCAGCCACATCAAAAAGGGAGTATGAGAGTAATTTAGTTATACATGGTAACCCTCAATTTACATAGCATTGGGGACAAGAATTTTACAAGGGAGAAGAAGGGCTGTGAGGAATTTAGCAGTAAATAGCTAGCCAAATAGAATTTCCCTCTTTTTTTGTTGATGGCACCACAATCATCCCAGTCACCCACCTCAAACCTCAAACTCATCTTTTCCTTCTCACTCACTCCGCCGAACAGCCAGTCATTTGCCAAGGTGTCTTCATTTTCTATCCAAAAATCTATTTCCCTTCTTCAATACTAACTGATTTTTATATAGCCCTTTAGAGTTTGAAAAATACTTGACAATACATGAACTCATTCAGGTTTCAAAACAATACCATGAGATAGGGATTTACAGAATTCGAGAAATGGAAGGGCTTTCAGTAGCTATCTGATCCATCCCATACATGAAAGGAATTCCCACTTAGTATACCTGATAAGTCAGAAACTACTTGAAGATCTCCAAAAGGGAGAACCCACCACCTCTTGAGATAGACCATTCTACTTTTTTTTTCCATGATTCAATTTTATTTTATTTTCAGTTCCAAATTCACCCCTTCCCTCACCCATTAAGAAGGCAAGAAATGAAAAGTCTATTACAAATATGAATGTGGAAAGAAAATTTCTACATTAGCCCTGTTCTGAAAAAAAAAGAGAGAAAAAAATATGCTTCAATCTGTATACAGAGTCCATCAATTCTCTATCTGGATGTGGATAACATTTTTCATTTTGGGTCCTTTGGAATTGTGTTGGGTCATTGTGTTTATCAGTTATTAAGTCTTTATTATAATTATAATTGTAATTATACTATCATATAATTGTAATTATAATATTGATGTTATTGACTAAATTGTTCCCCTGGTAGTGCTCACTTCACTTTGCATCAGCTCATATAAGTCTTCCCAGGTTTCTCTGAAACCATCCCCTTCATCATTTCTTTTTTTTTTGGTGGGGGGGAGGGAGGGGGGACAAGGCAATTGGGGTTAAGTAACTTGCCCAGAGTCACACAGCTAGTAAGTGCTATGTATCTAAGGTCAGATTTGAACTCAGGTCCTCCTGACTCCAGGGCCGGTAATGTATCCACTGAGCCACCTAGCTGCCCTTTCCTTCATCATTTCTTACAGCCCGATAGTATTCCATCACAATCATATATCATTTAGCCATTTCCTCGTTGATGGGCATCCCCTCAATTTCCAATCCTTTGCATCACAAAAAGCTGCCATAAATATTTTTGTGCATGTGGTTCCTTTTTCTCATTCTTTGATCTCTTTGGGCTGTAGTAATAGAATTGCTGGGTCAAAGGGTATGCACAATTCAATAGCTTTCTAGCTCATTCTATTTTAAGACAAGGCAGCTAGGTTACCAAGTGGATAGAGTGTAAGACTCAACTTCCTGGGTTCAAATCCGGCCTCAGACACTTCCTAGCTGCATGACCCGGGGCAAGTCACTTAATCCTGTTGCCTCAGTTTTCTCATCTGTAGAATGATCTGGAGAAGGAAATGGCAAGCCACTAACTCTGCCAAGAAAACCCCAAATGAGGTCATGAAGAGTTGGACACTACTGAAAAATGACTCAACAACAACAGCAAACAACCCAACCATAAGACAGTTTTTATTGTGAGGAAGCTTTCCCTGACCTCAAGTCTAAATTGGCCTCTTCTTAACTTCCCCCTGTTGCTCCTGGTTTTGCCCTCTGGGGTCCAACCACATGAGTCTCGTCCGCGTGACAGCCTCACACGTGCTTTAAAGCAGCTCTCATATTCCAACTCAGCCTGTCCTTCAGGTTCAGCATCCTTGGCCTGGACTCCACCTGATTTTTTTTTTTTTTTGTCACTAAGTAGAAGATTTTACGTTTATCTATAATAAATTTGATTTTATTAGATTCAGCTCAGTGCTCTAGCCTGACAAGGTCATTTTGAATCCTGACTCTGTCGTCCAGTATCTTCATCAGCCCTCCCCGCTTTGTCTTATGTGCGGATGTGATGAGCCTGCCATCCGTGCAAACGTTATCCGAGTCATCGTTGCAAATATTCAACAGAGCATGGCCAAGCGTAGATCCTTGGGGTTCTCTGCTGGAGTCTTCCTGCCATGTAAAGTATGGCCAAGGCATTGCAGGAAATGAGGTTACTCTGTCATTGCCTGTTCTCCTTGAGCAGTGGCTTTTTTTAATCACCACTTCTCATTCTGATTGTTCATCAGCCATCTCTTTAATAATCAGTTCTAGACTTTCTCCAGGAATCAGAGTCAAGTTCATTGGCCTATAGTTGGCATATGCTGTTCTCTTTCTTTATTAAAAAAAAAAATGGGACGGTATTTGTCCTTCTTCTTGTGACCCCTTTTCTATTTTCCATGATCTTTTAAATCTTACTTACAGTGGCTCAGCAATTCCATTTGCCAGCTCTTTTAGGACCTGAGGACATTGTGCATTGGCCCAGATTTCATGTTTAATTCTAAAGATAATTAAAATCAGAGTCCAGAGAGGTTAAGTGAATCTTCCATGTTCACAAAGCTAGTAAATGTGAGAGGTGGGATTTGAATCCAAGGCTTCCTGATTCCAAGTACAGCCTTCTATTCACTGTTTTGTTGGTTCAGATTCTCATCACCTCTCTCCTATACTATTGTATAAATATCCTGAATAATTTCTCTCTTTCATCAGGAGTCTGTCTTTCACAAAGCTGCCAATCAACAGTCACTTAATCCACAAGCATTTTTTAAGTGTTTACTACTGTAAACAGTAGGGCAGTTAGGTAGAACAGTGGATATTGAACTGTGGTGAGAGTGGATAGGCCCTAGAGTCAGGAGGACCTGAGTTCAAATTTGGACTCAGATACTTACTGTGTGACCCTGGGTAAGACCTGTTTGCCTCAATTTCCTCAATTTAAAAAATGAGGGCTTTAATAGCACCTACCTCCCCCAGAGTTGTTGTAAGGATCAAATGAAGTGTTTGTAAAGTGCTTAGCCTAGGAGCACCTAGGTAGCACAGTGGATAGAGAGGCAGGCCTGTAGTCAGGAAGATCTGAGTTCAGATCCTGCATCAGACACTTACTATGTGACCCTGGGCAAGTAACTTAACCATGTTTACCTCAGTTTCCTCAGCTGTAAAATGAGCTAGAGAAGGAAATGGCAAACTACTCCAGTATCTGCCAAGAAAACTCCAAATGGGGTCACAAAGCGTGGAACATGACTGAAAATGACTAAACAACAATACACTGTCTTCACATCTCCTCCTGTTCAAATCTTTCTCTTACTGGATCAAATTTTCCATGCCTGGAGTGCCCCAGTAAGCTGACAAAATTACTGATTCTTTAATATTCTAATATAAAACAGCGTTAAAAATTGGGGGGGAGATCTTTCTCTTCCACCTTTTTTTTCCCCATAAATCCTTCTCTCATACCTCCAGCAGAAAGTCCTCTCTCTTTCTTATCCCATTTTGTCTACATTTCTCCCTTTCTTTATCACAGTCTACCATGTACATATCTTACCTCCTTAGATTTTAGATCATAAGCTTCCCAGGGGCATATTTGCCAGGCACCGCTCTAGGTCCAAGAGGGCACAAAGACAAGCATTTCTGACCCTCAACGAATTTACATCCTACTGAGGAAAATAACATATAAGCATCATTTCTGCCCCCTACCATTCTGTAAGTTTTTCTGTGAGGTTTTTACTGTAAATATTTTTCTTTTATTTCCCCTCTTATTATTGTTCTCTTACTTTATTTGACACCACTGTTGCCAGTTGGAAGGAATAAGGGGAAACTGGGCGTGGTCATGATTGCCCACCCACCCATCTAGGGGGTGGAGGTAACTCTCTGGGTAGACAATAAGGCAGAGGGCTTTTGTAATAAGTAGGCAGTGTGCCTCAACTCACATCTTTGTGACTGTGTGTAGCATGTATGCCTAAGGATGGTTTAGTTAAAGCTTACGTTAAAACTTAAGGCACCACTGTTTCTCTCCTTAGGGTCTAAGGCTTTATGGGGATGCTCCTTAGTTATATAATCATAGCTGTGGAGCCCTTGGAGCATGGAATGGTGGGGAGAGAATGAGACTTGGTGACTGGAGAACTGGATTTGAATCTGAAAATGTGTATGACCATGGGCAAGTAACCTGATCTCTCCAAGCTTCAGTGACCTCATCCGTAAAATGTGAATAATAATACATGGGCTACCTACTTCACAAGGATGTTTTGGGGAAAGTACATCACAGATCAAAAAGCATCAGACAATTTTGACTCTTACTAGTAAAGTTCCATAGGTGGAAAACAGCTGAGAGAGCTAACCCCTTTATTTCACAGAGTAGGAAACAGGTTCAGAGAGCGGAGGTGGCTTAGTGAAAACTAGTCTTCTGATTATGCTGTATATTCAAGAGGCAGCCTTTCCAACTGACTTCCACTTCCATGGTTCTTGCAATTCATCTTCTATTCATTGTGATTTGTTTCCTCTGAGTGACTTTATCTTCTTCATTTGACTAGACGGGGAGTTGACCAAGAGCAGGTGCCTTTCCTGGAGGATATAATATCTTATGACCCCATTTAATGGCTCTTGACAGGCTGTGGGAACCATTTGCTTTCCCCAGTTCATGCCTCCTTTATGGTCTGTCTAATGTCCACCTAAATGTAATCATAACCAAGGCACCAACATCAATAATGGGCTGTGTTGCCTCAGCCCCTGACAAAGGTCACACCAATAGCACTCTTGTGTCATCCATCGATTCAATTATAGCTTATCCTTTTAAAACCACTTTGCTGAAAAAGGCTGCCCCATTCAGCTCCATTGTTAGGATGAAAAATCTGTAGAATAAAAAATGGGACTTTGCCTAATTGAAGATTTAAAGGACCTCTGATCTTTTGGCTGTCAGATAAATTCAGGGCAAAGAATTTCATTTGGGGTTAGAGTAAGAGGTTATCTAATTCTACAAAATGAACAACATTTATCTTTATTTTCCCTCAAAGAACCGCTTCGGTTTGGATCTTTGTCCATGCTGCCTGGTTCCCAAGTATGGTGCTAAATAACGGAGAGACACATTTTTGTCTCTTAAGAAAAATATCTCTTAAGCAATCCACTTTTTAAAACTAAGCCCAATACCTTGCTCTAAGATCTTACTTGCTCAAGAATTTAAGCCCTAATAGTAGTAACAGGCTTGATGATTTACAATACCCAACTACAGAATATCATGAAGAGTTAGACATATTTCAGATAGAGTATTATCTATCTCCTCGTTTCTCCAGAAACATGTCAGCTACATGTAGCAAAAAGTCTGATATAACATGATTAATATGTGAGGGAGGAAGGCTCTGGCCCCAAGTTTCAATGTTCAGAATGAGAATGAGGGAATGAAAAGATAAGCAATCCCCAAGGGCACAGCCTACATGGGAAGACAAGGGAGTACATGTAATATTCTATTTTTTTTTATCTATGCATGTATTTTAAATGCCAGAGGACCCCATTCTTTGTGTCAGGTAGGTATTTATGTTAGGTCAAGTCAAATTATAGTGCATGTGTTACAACCTCAGTAACACAGATGTGGACAAATTTTCAAAAGGGAGGAAAAAACAGTTTTCAGACTTTGCCTAGGATGTGCCTTGGCCTGTCCCAGACAACACCCTCAGTCTATAAGCCTTCCTTTCTTCTGTTAGTTTGACTTGCCCTGACCTTAGCTGTCAAAGCGAGCTAACCCATGGTTTCTGACTTTATCTTCCTCTCCTAAGAGAAATCTTACAGGAGATCCAGAGGCTACGGCTGGAGCATGAACAGGCTTCTCAGCCCACCCCAGAGAAGGCCCAGCAGAATCCTACTCTCCTGGCAGAGCTCCGTCTTCTCAGGTAAATGGGGCCCTCACCAATGTGAGGGGAATGTTTTCTTGGTTTCTTTAATTGAGGTAGGTATCCTATGTACCTACAGAGTGAAAATAAATTAGTCTTAGCTCACAAGTGGCTACTCCAGTGTATTTGTTTTATTGTTTTAATTTACTCTGTAATTAGAAGCATCACACACCTGGGTTGCCAAGTTGTTTTTCATATTCTTTCATTTATGGATAACATTAAGAAAATGAAAAATGATGTTCCTTCTATGCTGCTCTACTAAAAAAAAAATCTAATTCTCTACTTGTTCCACCAGCTGGGCTACTACATTTTCTTTCATTCATAGTTTTTGTGATGTAAAATAGGATCATAAAACCAAAAATTATTTCCCACAATTTTTTCCTGAAAAAAATATATTCATGAAATGGTATTGCCCATCCCCCATCCCTGCAAGAGTGGGGAGGTGACCAGCTTGTGTTGGATATAATTGGGTGATTAATAAGTGAGAGAATATCAGTAAACCTACAAAAATAGAGTAGGTTACTCCGAACACAATGTCCCCATCCAGGAATTGTTGCTAAATCTATTCAAAGAACAAAACCAGAAATCAACATTCAAGGAAATTAGGATCATTTATATTGAGGGAAGGGAAGAAATTATGGACTAAAAGGTACTGTATTCTCCAAGACTGTGCTGGGTTAGGGCAAGTACTGATTCCACCAAGCCAGAGAGGCTTTGACTGTGGAGCCAGCAATAGACTGTGGTACAATGACCAGGCAGCTAATTTAACAGGCATTCCTCACCAGAAAGTGGGTAAGATGATGATTTTCTTATTTTTGGCCTAAGAAAGTCATTAAAACCTTAACTAAAGCAGAGAAAGGTTTTGAGCTGTATCCAAAAGCATAGTGCCTACAATGATGAAATCATAGATCATTTGAAGTATTGAAGAAAGAATAAAAAGTGATCATTGAAGTCACCATTACACCCACATTTCAGATAGTATGAGTGTGATTAGCAGGAATTGAAATTCTGAGCCTCTTCAGTTTGTGCAAAAAGATGCCCCTTCAGAATTCACCTCATTTAGATTTACGGATTTCTCTCAGACCTTTGCAGAAATCACAGAGCAATCCTAGCTTTCATCGGTCATTTAAAGGACAGTGGTCAGGTTCTAAAAGCCCTCTTCCTAACTTATAAACCCTCCGTTTGTGAGATTAATACCAATCATCTGTCTCTAAATTGGTTCCTGCTAATGTTTTACATGACTGCATATGTGTAACCTACATCTGATTGCTTACCAGGATGGAATTTGGAACTCAAAACTTTAAACTAAAATTTTTTTAATTGTTTTAACATGTAATTGGGGAAAAAATAAACTATATTAAATTTAAAAAAATAAATTGTTTCCTGCTCCCTCCCTAATCTTTTTTATACCTTAAATATTGCTGCATTAAGAGCACACATTGAATTATGCCCTAAATCCCCAGCTTTGAGACCAATGGCCTCTCCTTAGTATACTCAAGCTAGTGAAAGGCAATCAGTCAGTCAATAAACCTTTATTAAGTGCCTACTATGTACCAGGCACTGTGCTAAACCCTAGGGATACAAATACGAAAAAGAAAAACAATCTTGTCCTCAAGGAACTTAAAACCTAATGGGGAAACAACATAAAAAAGGAAGATGAAAAGAAGGTAGGGGGATGGTACCTGGCAGAGGGACATGCTGAGAAAATCTGAAGGAGGGCAGCTGAGTGAGAAATGAAGAGATGCCTGGCCTGAGTATACTTCTTAAATGGAGGCTTGAGGGAAAGTTCTTCGCCCCACCGTCCAGACAATTGCAGCAAAGATTTAGCCTGTGGAAAGCATATCTGAACAACTGAATCTTGGAATCGGTGCCTGACTCTTAAAGATTTCTGAATGCTACTGGGAGATCTCTGTTCCAGAAGATTATATCTAGAAAATTCTTACATGTTTTTTTATCACCTTCCTAGATGAGATTAATATGGTCAGATAAAATATCAATAACATTTTATTATGAAAATCATTTATTAAATACCTACATATGTCAGTGTCTTTGCAACAAGCACAAATATAGTCCTTATCCTCTGGGTTTATGAACTAAGATAGATGATACTGACATAATCAGGGACATTCAGGCAACAACATAAATCAATCAATCCATTTTGACAGTCAAGTTGTGATTGATACATATGTCATAGTCTTGACGACCCTGCAGAGGTGATAGTAAATAGATAGTGGATAGAAGGTTGGCCTTGGTTTCCAGTCCTACCTCTGACATATACTAGCTCTATGACAGGGGTAAGCTTGACCAATCAGTGCCCAAGACAAGTCTACAAAACGTGAATTACAGATGAGTTTCTGACTTCTTTTAGTGGAAGTAATTTCCATACTATGTAATTCCTATACCAGTGGTTCTCAAACTTTGTTCTCAGAATCCCTTTTATACCCTTAAAAATCATTGTGGACGCCAAAAAGCTTTTGTTTATATGGGTTATGTCTATTGATATTTACCATATTAGAAATTAAAACATCTTAGTGTTATTATGAAAATAGTTTTGATCTCGCAAACCCTCTGAAATAGTCTCAGGAAAAACCCATTGAGAACTATTGCCTTCTCCATGAATTCATAAATCTATATTAAAAAACCAAAAAATAAGATTTTTAAGGTTCTTGGGAATTTATTATTAGCATTTTCAGGTATTAAGGCATCGGCCTTAGAAGATTTTCAGAATAATTCAAATCACCAAAAGTTTACAAAGTGCTTAGGGTGTACAGAGTATTATGCTGAGCCCTAGAAGAGATCCAGATTTTAGGTAAGACACAGTCCCTCTCTTCAGAAGTTGCATGTAGACATGTAAATATAATTTTAAAAAATAATGCAAGATAAGTACAATCTAAGAAGTTCTCTGAATGTCCTTCATTTGATAATGTGGTTGGCCACCTAAAGTCTCTTCTTTTCTTTATTTTATGACATTAGACTGGATATATAAGTCTGCTTCCTGACACCCTGTGAGCATAAAGCATTTGGAATCATTTGCATCAGCCTGAAGTGAAAAGATACCCTTGATTTTATTGTTGTCATTGTGTGAGACTACTAAATTTTTAGGAGTTGTCATTAACTCAGTGGCTCAAGGAAACTCTGACATTAGGAGAGCTAAATAATTTACAACCGAGCTGTAGGAAAGCACAGTCCACCTTCATAGCATCCACCAAGAGCATTTGGAGAACTTCCTGCCTGCAAGAATAAATTATGTCTTTACCTTGCTTTGTCTTATGAACAAGGACTAATGTGAGATGCTGTAAGTGATACCTACTGCACAAGCTGTCAATGTTACAGCTAGAAATTTGGAAAGACAAAAGATGCCCAAACTTGACCTCTCTCTGATATAACAGGTAGTCTTTTCCCCCCACTATTGCTCAGACTATTGCAGTAGCCTGCTGGTAAGCCTCCCTGCCTCAAATCTCTCCCTATTCCATTCCATACTCCACTCAGCTGTCAAAGTGATCTTCCTAAAACATAGGTCTGGCCTTGTCAGTGAGATCTAAGAACTCCCTATCACTTCTGATATCAAAAAAGGAAGCGGCTAAGTGGTGCAATGGATAGAGTGTTGGACCTAGAATCAGGAACACCTGAGTTCAAATCCAGTCTCAGACACTTACTGGCTGTGTGATACCGGGCGATTCATTTTCACCTCTGTCAGCCTCAGTTTCCTTCATTGTAAAATGGGGATTATAATATACCTCCCAGGGTTGTTGTAGGAAACAAATGAGATAATATTTGTAAAGCACTCTGCCCAGTACCTGACTCATAGTGTTGTTGTTTCAGTCGAGTCTGACTCTCTGTGACCCCATTTGAGGTTTTCTTTGCAAAAATACTGGAGTGGTTTGCAAACCAGATTAAATGACTTGCCCAGAGTCACACAGCTAGTAAGTGCCTGAGGCCAGATTTGAACTCGGGAAGATGAGTCTCTCTGAGTCCAGGCCTGGCACTGTATAAACTATGGCACCACAAGCTGCCCTATATCTTTACCAGATGAGCTACAAAGTGCCAGTAACAGAAGCAGCAGCAACAACAAAACCTAAAACTCCCTCTGGATATTTCAGAATTCCCCCAATTCCCTACTTTACTTTGCCTGCAGAAACAGTGTAATGGATGATTCCGCCTCCACTGAGATCCAGTGTTTGATTGTTTTCCATTTGAATTTTATAGTAAGTTAAGTCCTAAATATCTAAAGAATTGGACACTAAAGACTCTTAATTATTTCTTTCTCACTGCCATCCCTGATACAACAGTAATAACCACAGTCAGTAATAACAATCAGTAATAACGAAGTCAGTAATGGTAGGAGGCAAACTAGATTGGGACTCCCTTAGACTGTGAATTCTATAAGGGCAGGGAATGTCTCTAGCCTCTTTTTGAATCCCCAGCACTTAGCACAGTACCTGGCACATAGTAGGTGCCTAATAAATATTTATTGACTAACTAAATGAGCATTCTCTTCTTCCTCTCAGAATAGAAATCTTAAGTATGTCTATTACTACTTCATCATTCTGCTCAATTGCCATACTTGCACGTGCCATATTATCCCAAACTGATAAATTGAAAAACACATGCTATATACAGAGGGCAGCTAGGTGACACAGTGGATAGAGTACCAGGCCTGGAGGCAGAAAGACTTATCTTCCTGAGTTCAAATCTGGCCTCTTGATACTTACTAGCTGTGTGACCCTGGGCAAATCATTTAACTCTGTTTGCCTCAGTTTCCTCATCTGTAAAATGAGCTAGAGAAGGAAATGGCAAACCACTCCAGTATCTTTGCCAAGAAAACCCCAAATGGGGTCATGAAGACTCAGACACAACTAAACAGCAACATGCTATACATATATGTATATATATACATACATATATATATATTTCTTCATGCTAGATAGTAAAGAAATATTAAGATAAAAGAGGCCTGCATTCCTTATTACTCACCCGCTAAGTTAATATCTTAAGCGAGTGACTATTTGCAAACATATATCTTTTCATTATCTGCTCTATTTGTAACAATCTCCAAGTAATTCCTATAGTAAGAGACTCTTTATGTAGTGTCTTACCTTGAGTGGGTTCTAGGTCAGGTAAATAGTCAGATGGTTTTAAATGTGATCCAAGATAGGTAATCTCAATTTGTCCTCCTTATAAAATATAAATAAATAAAAATTTACATTTTTTCTTTAAGATTAATGTGATAAACATTACTGAATGTGTATTTGTATTGCTTGTATGGGTTGATTTGGACTACATGTTCAAATTATGTTCAAATTCTTACTTTGCTATTTCCTCCCACATAACCTTGGCTCCTCTTGGCATCTTTGTAAAGTTCCCTGCTTTGCTTAAAAAATAACATACATGAGGTTGAAGTAAATGATTACTTCAGATTTCAATCCTATGCTCCTATAAAAAAGAGGAAATTTAGTGAAAAGTCTAGATTATTAAATATTCTTAAAAAAATTCAGTTTAGACTATGAGCTCTTTGAAGGGAGTGATTGCTTATTTGTTTTTGCCTTGCATTATATCCCCTGTGCTTAGCACAGTGCCTGTGACATAGTAGGCTAGCACCTAAAATGGAAAGTCAGGTATCTGCTAGCATAAAAATGAAGTCACTGAAAGATGCCCTACTATGTACAATAAATTTCAAGAAACATACTTTTATGACATTACCACATCTATTCCTTGGAAGAAAACAATACTTCCAGACATTAGTCTGTGCAATAAAAAACACTTTTATTTGTAAATTTATGTAAAATTATATAGTAAAAAAGCATAACAACATAAAATGTATTTTGACCATTTTAGAATGAAATTGCAACTTATAGGTAGGAGCACCTATAGATTAGATTGAATCAAGTCATCATAAAATATTCGAAAAATTGTGTTCTGTGATTGAAATTCTGCAATTATAGGCTGAGCTTTAATAGAGGAGGAAAAAGAGGTGTTTGGAAAATGATAAATCAGTGCTTTTTCATAATTCTTCAGCTAGCTTTTAAAAGCCTCTCTGGAGATTGCTTCACTAACCTTAGCATGGTTCAATTTCACTGCCTCTGCCTTCCTCTTGGTGCTCAAAAGGCCAACAAAATGTTGAGCATCATAAATTAAAAACTGCTGGAAATAAAGCAGATATCATTATGCTCCTCTTGTACAAAGCCCTGGAACATTCTGTACAGTTTTGAATACTGCACCTTTAGGAAGATAGTATGAGCTCGCAAAGGTCTGGAAAAGGGCAGATAAATGATTGTTAAATTCTTTAGCCAAGAAGGCAAAGGCTATGAGGAAACATGATTAACACCCATAAAACATCCAGGCTGGGGTTTAATTTTGACTTATTTATCAAATTCTAGAATATTAAAATTAATGGCATCCCCTGAAGCAAAAGAGGTAATTTTAGGAGAATGAAATAACTAATAGCTCACATTTACAAAATGCCTTCCTTACAGCCACCCTAGAGATAGATAGTATAAACGTTGTTATCCCCATTTCACAGATTAGAAAATCAGCACTGAGGCAAGTAACTTGCCCAAGGTCAAATAGCTAGGGACTCTAGTTAGGACTCAAACACACAGTTGATAATGTCCTATCCAAGTCACAACACATGAAAAGTACTGTGCTAGGCGTATGACCACTTCTATTCTGGGGCTTATTATTCTGGAACACCTCCACTAGGGACTGAGGGGAGGTGTTCATCAATGAGGTAGCAAAGGCTTGACCTGTCTGGTACATGCCACTTTTTGTCTGCTGAGATAACTTGCCTGTGTTAAAACCCATCTTCCAATGTAGATTTTACACGTGCATGCATGATGTGTACAATTAGGATGTGACAGGAGCAAAGGAATGGTCCAGAAGAAATGCTCTAGGGACATCTGAGAACAGAGAGATCACTTTTTTTTCCCTAGTAGATTCAGCTAACATTTATACAGCGCTTACTATGCTAGAGTTGGAGGCATTATGCTAAGTACTTCACAATTCTATCATTTGAGCCTCACAACAACCCTGAAAAGTGGGTGCTATTATTATCTTCATTTTACAGATATGGAAACTGAGGCAATTGGGGTTAAGTGACTTGCCCAGGGTCACGCAGCTAAGTGTCTGAACTCAGATTTAGGCTCAGGTCCTCCTGACTCCAGGCCCAATGCTCTATCTATTGCACCAAGAGAAGTTTCCATGAAGGAAGTGCTATCCCTAATGGACTTTGAAGGAAGAGAAGGATTTCAAGAGGAACAATTGAGAAAAAAGATCATTCCAGGATGGGGAACATCCTGGGCAAATGGAAATAGTATGAAATAAGGCCATGAAGTTAAGTTACAGCCATACTGCATTAGATGCCAATGAAAAAAATTTATATAGGCAGTAGGGAGCCATTGAAAATTTTTGAGCAAGGAAGTCACATGAAATAATATACAAACATATACATATAATATATATATACAAATATAATATACAATTGTATACATGAACACACAAAAGCATGAATCCTCTCTACGTTTTTAAGTTGTGTTTCCTGTTTTGGGATCATCATTCAGATTCCTTGGGGGTAAATTCTACGTAATATGCATGCAGTAATGGTAAGGAGGAATGGAATTGGAATTTTCTGAATGAATGTAAAAGAGTTCCACAACTCAAAGGTATTGTAATTGTGTTCCATTGTTGTTTTTCTCCTCCACTCTCGAATATATGTTGCTACCTCCTATTGTCAATATGAATGACACAGTAATACAACCCCAAAACAGGTTTTCAGGCTCACCTGAGTTCTCAAATGATACTTGGAGTTCAAGGAACAAAAAGAAAAAGATACTTTCTGGTTCAAAATTTAGATTATTTGCACATAAATATTTTTAAAGTGATTTCTTCTCTTCTTTCTTTACTTCTGAAATCAGTGTTAAAAAAATAAAACTGGAGGCAGCTAGGTGGTGCAGTGGACAGAGCACCAGCCCTGAAGTCAAGAGGACCTGAGTTCAAATGCAGCTTCAGACCAAACACTTGACACTTAATAGCTGTGTGACCCTGGGCAAGTCACTTAACCCCAACTGCCTAAAACAAACATACACACACACACACACAATCGATAAATAAATAAAACTGCTGGTATAAATAGCATGTTGTCATATTTGCACCTTTGGGAGACGAGATTTTGTTAGTAATACTATGTGAATGAAGTGAGCTCTAAGATCTAATTCTGGTTCAGATATCTAGACACTACTATGAGGCGAAGTTTTGTCCAGATTCATGATAGAACACTTGGCTTGCTGAGCTTTGAGACTGATGTGGTTTGGCTCTGCATTTGGGGAAAAAAATTAAACTTTATTTAATTTTGCTTTTGCTTTCTCAGAACAAATTTTTCCATCTATACTTACACACTCACTTGGAATTTGACCGCTGCCCTCCCAAAAACTTCTTTTTTATGACGACTGACTAGCTGTAATATGGAGACAACAAGCAAACTATTTCTCTGGTAGTCATTATCTCAATAGTAGAAGAAGATATGAATAGTTGAGTGGGGAAAGCATTGCTTCTGATCACAATTGCTTCTTTCTCAGACAACGCAAGGATGAGCTAGAACAGAGGATGTCTGCTCTTCAAGAGAGCCGGAGAGAGCTGATGGTCCAGTTAGAAGGTCTCATGAAGCTACTAAAGGTAAACCATTTTGAATAAAATATTTAGTAAAACAGGATTCTGGGATTAATTTTTAATTAGTTAATTTTAAAATTAATTTAAAAAATAAATCGTTTAGGATTTTTCTGATTTTTATATTAGTGACCCCTGAATCTTGTTCCTAGCTCAATCAGCTCCTAGCCTCAGGTTAAATCAGGTAACCAGTCAATAACATTAATGGAAAGTTCACTTTGTACCAATCTTTCTTGTCAACTTATCTTAACCCAGTAGGCTACTGAAAATCCAAATAAGCAATGGTTTGAAGTTCCAATTTTTTTACGTCCTTGAAAATAATAAAATTTTAATACTTTATAAATACCCTATAATTTGTCCTTTGAACTAATTTACAATAGTTATCTCCCAAAATATTCTTACATGCTGAGCTTAAGTTACATCTGTCATGATTAAAAATTCACCAGGCCTTTATGTATGTAGTTGAGAAACACATAAAATTTAATGAAATAGAATCTAGAAATCTCAGCATTGCAAAAAAGCTCAGATATGACATAGACCCACTCATACCCCACCAGGGACCCCCCTACAACATCCAGAATAAGTAATCATTTGGCAGTCAAACTTGGTACCTTTCAGGGTGGCCCATTCCACTTTTAGATAGCTTCAGTTGTCTCCTGTGTTTGATGTGTTACATCAAATCAAAATCTCTCTCTCTCTCTCTCTCTCTCTCTCTCTCCCCCTCTCTCTCTCCCTCTCTCCCTCCCTCCCTCTCCCTCTCTCTCTTTCTCTCTCCCTCTGTCTCTCTGTCTCCCTCTCTCTCTGTCTGTGTCTCTCTGTCTCTGTGTCTCACCATCTCTGTGTCTCTCTGTCTCTCCCAATTCTTCCTTTGCCTTTTAAGGAAAAACAGAATCTACATATTCCTTTTTCCACAATAACATCCCTCCAAATTTTGAGACTATTATGCCCTCCTATCTCCTTTTTCCCCCACTCCCCACTCCTTATCAAGACTAACCAAAATTCCTGTAACTGAACCTTCTTTCAAAACCCCTCACTATCCTGTTTTCTCTTCTCAAGACATTTTCCAGCTTTCAATGTCTTTCCTGAAATAAGGCACATGAAAATGAAAACTGAATAAATACTCTATGTGCATCAGATTGTAAGTTCCTTGAAGGCAGGGACTGTCTTTTGCCTCTTTTTGTAGCCCCTGTGCTTAGCACAGTACAGGCACTTAATAGATGTTTACTGACTGATAGGTTGACATCCAGTCCAACCAGGTCAAAAAGAATGGAACTGTCACCTCCTCTAGACATTTCTCCAGTCATCTATAATTTCTTGTCTATGGGAATTCTTTTCAATGATGGAGCCCGCTCAGTAACTTAGTATATGGTCTCCCTTGAGCTGCTGTGTGCAAACAATCATCCCCCTGGTTTTTAGATTCTTCAGACTTAGCCTGGGCTGGTCCTCAGACAACAGGCAGCATCCAAAACCCAAAGTTTTTCCACCTTGGTAGGAACTCTCAGAGCCTATATTTTGCTTAGTTATCTTCCTTCTGAGATCACTTCCTGGGATCACTTCCAGGCCATGATGGGATTTTGAAGCGTTATATTAGCAGAGAGTTCTGGACACAGTGTTTATATTAATGCAGCCTAATAACCATTTGTTGCCTTTTTCCTTTTCTTGGCTCATAGTTAGCTGATAATCACCTCCTGGTCTTTCTCCTAGAATCTTTTATCTAGTCATTTCCCCTGTCCTGCACTTGATATTTTTAACCCCGGTGTAGGGGGTGGGGGTGGGGCAGGGGTGTTTTTTTTGTTTTGCTTTATCCTAGCAAAGCTTCATTTTATTAGATTAGGCCCAATCATTCTAGCCTGTTGAGACCTTTCTGGATCCTTATCCCAGCATTCAGCATCTTGGCTGTCCCTCCCAGCTTCATGTCATGTGCACTTTGGATAAGCATCCCCTCTCTGCTTCATTCAAGTCATTAATAAAATCATCAAACAGAACAGGGCTGAGAATGGACCCCCTGTGCAACTTCTTTCATTTTCTTTATGGTTCTTTCATGAAGAATAATTCTTTTCTAACTTAGGTAAAACCTCACCCTTTTGCCATGTGACCTTGGGCAAGTCAGAAATCTTTTTGAGCTTCCATTGTCAGTCTGTAAAATGAATATAATATTCAAATTGCCTGCATACAAGATCTGTCACCAACCTACCTGTAGAAGTCCCTTTATGCCTTTTTTTTGTGGACAGTGAAGTTCCCACTCTTCCTCTAATAAAGAAGAAAAACTGAGTAGAGGGCAGATTTAACCTGTCTTTTCCTATACAGGATGGCCAGAGAGTACTGGAAATCTGGGTTCAAATTTATGATGTTCAGTCTGCCCTCTCTAAAGTGTGGCATGCTCTAGAGTAAATAAAAACTTCTGTTGGCTTGGCAGCAAAGGGAACAGACCCTTTTGAGAAGATACCATTACGGAGAGGCAGTGTGACATAGTGGATAGAATGCTGGCCTTGCAATCTGGGTAAATCTGGGCAAAAATCCTGCTTCTGACACTAACTAGCTGTGTGAACCTGAGCAAGTCACTTAACTTCCGTGCCTCAGTTTCTTCATCCATAAAATGAAAAGGCTGGACTCAATGCCCTCTCAAGTCCCTTCCAGCTCCAAATCTATGATACTTATAAAATGAAATTCCCAAAGGTGATTTCCCTGTGAGATACACAGTGATGCAAAGTTTCCTGAACTTCATCTCTGACAGGGGACAGGGGGGTGGGGCAGCCTCATTTTTACAGTGTATTTTTTATCCTTACTGTATTCTCATCTTCCTATCCACTTCCCTTGTGTCTTCTACAACCTAGCATGTAAGGAAAATTATACTGACTTCCTTTCATTAGTTCAAAGATATGTGATCTTGTCTGTGCAGGTACTCCTTGCACTAGCATACTTCACTTCCCCCCTCCACCCCACTCCTCTCAGGCCATATCATCTATTAGATGCCCATCAGGAATTCCTATGATCAAAGGCATTCACCACTTGCTACCCAAACTTATAGTGATGAGCCTTTTGAAAACACACTAGTTCTGAGATGATGTACTTAGCACTCTATCACCAAGTCCTTCTAGCTCAGTAGGACCTATCAAAGCGTGAAGTCCACTGACGTAGAAGTCAGGGTCACCTTCACGCCAGAGAGCAGGACTTTGTTAGGGAAACTTGCATTTTGAGAGCATTAAACAAGTTGAGTGTATTTTTCTTCTCCTACCTCCAAGGGATAGTATCCAGATTCATTTCTGTCTCATTGTGTGTGTGTGTGTGTGTGTGTGTGTGTGTGTGTGTGTGTACTGACTCCATTATTTCCTTGATGACCCAAAGCAACTCTCTCTGCTCATTTCCTAATAAATAGATTGAGAGGGCCTATTCCCATAAGGTTAGCATTATACCCTTTAGAGGATGACAGAATGTGACCCCCTAATCCAGAACACTCTGTGTCTATAGCTTTTGTCACCACAATGATTTGACATATTTGATAACCAAATAGTCCATCCTTCCCTTAAATGTCATTCTGCTGACAGGCTGCCATGTCAAAGTTATAATTTCAAGCTATAACATATATTATTGGTAACCAAAAAGTTTTGGTGATTCCTGTTGGGAAACAAACTTAAGCTGTCAAGCATAAACAGGTGTGGTGTTAATTGGGTTTGGTTTTTTGAGGGTTTGGGGTTTTTTTTTAATCTATTTGCATAAAGAAAGCTAGGTCCTCAAAAGAGGAAAATGTTATGAGTTTCCGAAATAAAAATGTTTGTTGAAGTAGAAAAGATATGATTTTTACTAAAGGTTTGCTGATATTTACCTTGCTTAACATTCATTCACATAGGGTATACTCTTATTGAACTCCTGAGTAATCTAACCATTATTGATTGAATTTTTCCATAGGAAGAAGAACTGAAACAGGGAGTAAGTTATTTTTCCTAATGTAGGTCTTGATTGACAATGGCGTGTTAACAGGCATCTCGTGGCTTTTCCTACTGTTCGTGCCTCTAACATGTGTGTGTTCATGCTTCATTTTGAAAGGAAAATATCCTCCTAATTTGCCTCCATTTTTGTGTGTTTGCTTGTGTTGAGATTTGGAAGAAGTGGTATTTTTCATGCCTGTTATTGTCAACATCAAACAGTTACAAAAGAGAACAGTGTGTACTAAAGCCTTTTCACATCTCCAGGGATTCAAGTTTCTAACCAATTTCATGCCTTTCTGAGTTGTTCAGACTAACCAAAATACTCTCTTTTTTATTGATTTAAAGATACACACTAACTAAAACCACACTGGAGCTAAATATTGTCTTGAAGACTTCATAGTATTCAATACATAATTTCTACATCCTTCATGAAAAATACAAGGTGTAGATATTGCATTTCCAACTGGATACATAAGTGTGAAGCTGTCTTTCATAAAAAACAGCCCATTAAAGTTCATAACCATCTCATAAGTACTCTGCCCCATTTCATGCTGCTCACTCAAATGGACTCATTCTTATCAAAAAAGATTGCAAAGAGATTATCAGAGGGAGCAGGCTTTTGGCTTTTCACATCCAGAACCAAGCACAAATCCTTTTATTGGTCTAAATTACTCATTAATGAGTGAGTAACTTTCAGTTGTTATTCTGCCACTGAGAGCTTTTCCTCCATAAGAGGCCCATAAGATCATTAAATCTGTCTCCTGGTGCAGCCTTGGCCACATTATTATGTGGTAATCATAGTCTATTGTGTGAGAAAATTCTCAGCTTTATGGTCAGGTTCAGAATCCAGCAGAGGGAGCAGTGTACTTAAAAACACAAATAAAGTGAAATACAGTAGCTTTTAGTTCAAGTGCATGTATCAAGCTGGGTGTCTGTAACATAACCCACTAATTCAAAGTTACAAAGAAGTTTAAAGTCAGGTTCATAGATCACTTGGAATAATACTCTTGCAAAAACCAAGCAATCCTTTAATGTCTTTAAATTTCCTTTGCCTTCGTCTCACCTTTTATTCATTGTGTGTGT